CGCGCGAGTCCGTCAGTCCGTGCGCCCCGGCTGCGAGCCGAGGGAGAGTGGGGATAGCGAGGATGCTTTTCCCAACCACCCCCACTCCTTCCCGCACTCGCTGGCTCCTCCCTCGCTTCCCAGCTCGCCGACGTAACCCTTTCCTGGCCACTAGGAGGCGGGAGCGGCTCTCTAGTCCCCTCCATCCCGGACCCCGCCCCTCCTTGGGGGACACGGAGGACTATGTTCCATAGCCTTCGCGGCGCCTCGCTTCCAGAAAAACCCCGGGGGTCGGAGGGGGGGCGCATTAGTGTGTGGAACCTCATGGACTTGTCCAGTCCCCCCCCCCCTCCCAAGTTTTCCGGAGGAGGTGGGCTCCTGGGTCACCCTCCCCGCCTCCTCGTGGCGTCCCTGGTGCCAAGGCTCAGACCTCAACATTTCTCTCCCCTGGGAGCGCTCCAAGCTCCGCTTTCCCCTTCCTTTCCTGGACTCCCAGCCCCGAGCGTGAGACTATGTAACAATCGTGCAGGCAAGTTTGTGCATAGGCGCGTGCACGCGCGCTCAAGGACGCCTGTGCAGGTGTGACTCTGAGTGCGCACACGCTGCCTTTCCTGTGGGCCCAGGGAAGAGCGGAGCACGGGAGTGTGCCAGCGGGTGAGCCACTGGTGCCCGCCCGCACGCGTGTCCGTGCTGGTGGGACACGTGAGGCTGTGTGAGTTTGGCCGAGCGAGCTTGGAGATGGGTGGCCAGGGTACATATGTCCGCGTGTCTGATGCATTTGCGAGCGGGTGCCAATTTGGGTGCGCATTTGTATGTGTATGTTTGCTGTGTCCTAAACGGGATATCCCATCTCCCGCGTGCGCTCAGGAGAGGGCTCAAGGGTGGGGAGGGGAGCGACGGCTCCACGCGAGTTGCTTCTTTCCTTTAAGGAGAGGTGCGTTCTGATCTCACGCGGGCCCCTCGCGCCCCTCGTGGCAGCGTTCGGGGAGATGCCAGCCGGCCGTTTCCTGACAAAGGCGGCGATGCCAAACATCCTGGCCCTGACCCGGCCCAGCGGGCCCGGCATCCGGCCCTTGGAGGCCATCCCGGTGTGGGACAGGCGCGGGGGCTTTGAGGGAGTCGCTTCGGGGACCGTGGCCAACAGGCGCGGCCCTGGGTTGGGGGCAGCTGGAGTGGCTAGGAAGGCCAGCGCCAGAGCCATCGGCGTGCAGCCCCGCCGCGCCCACGGAAGCGCGGGAACCCCGACGGCCCCTCCCGGGAGCAAAGAAAAGGAACCCCTCGCCCCGCCGCCTCTCTCTGGCTCCTCCTCTCCTGTCTCAGTTCTACGCAGCGCTTGGCAAACAGTCGGCGCTGTATAAATGCTGGTCTAGTTTTCCATTCATTCTCTGTTCCATCCACAGTCTCATTCTTCCCTCGTTCTCATTGCCATTTCCTCCCTTTATGCACTCGCTATCTTCTGTCTCTCTCGTGTCTCTCCGTGTCTCTGTCGCTTCCCACCGGTCCTTATGGCTCCCGTGTCTCCATCTCTGGGCCTGGTGTGCCTCTTTCGCTGCCTCTATCACCTTTCCCACCTCATTTCATTAGCGGGCTCCCGGCCCACTAGCACCTTGAGCTCGGGCGCCCCCTGCTGGTCCCATCCTCTGCTCTTCCTGGGCTACCAGGCCCTCTGGGCACCTGATTTCCTCTCCCGCTTCTCTCGGTCGGGTCTGTAGGAGCGGAAAGGGGCGTCTTTGGGGCTCCGCTCCCCCTCCCATCTCTAGATGGAACAGGGCCCGCATTTCCCCGGACCCACCCAGCGGGGGAGGGCCCGCGCCCGGGGAGGAGGCCCTGGAGGGGGAGGCGGGGAGGGAGTGTTGGGGGTAGCAGGGTGGGATTTGGCGTCCTTCCCCGGAATGAGCCGCGGCACAATCTGTCGTTGGGTTTGTTTGCCGAGCTGCCTCCGGAGCTCAGTGGGGCTGGCTCCCGGGGAGCGAAATATCACAAGATGCGTAGACAGACGCTCAGGGGTGGGTGGGCGGCGGGCTGACTCAGGTGTGCTGTCATCGGCTCCCGGGGCCCGCGCTCTTCTGGGAGGGGTGTGGGGGGGGACCCCGGGTTCCCAACACAAGCAGGCATCCGAAGCTGGGAGGGGAGCCCCCATCCCGGGGTGAGCTTCAGGGAAAGGGATGCATCTGCCTGGAGTCCTTGGCTCTAGGTCTCTTCTTCAGGCCTCGGAGCCCCAGGGGACACCCCCACCTTGGGTATGCTCCTGACGTTTATGAACCTCTCTGCTCATATCCCTTCATACAGGCGTCGGTTTCCTGTAACTATCTGCTGACTCACCACTTTCCTCGCACGAGACCGCCAGCTTTTTGAGGGCAGGGGACTCCTGTCATCCACCTTTGTGCCCTCCGCAGGTGCTCAATGTATACGTGGGGAGGGATGGTGGTGGGTGGGTGGGTCGCTGGCTGGTCTGTCTACAGGAAATACCACATGCATTTGGTCTTTCTGGTAGAACGTTGGACCCCTTGTTCCTCTCCCTGCCCACTTTTGCAGCCCCCCCCCCCCCCCCCCCCCCCGAACCAGCTTTTCCTGGAGTGCGAAGACCAGAGGTCTCCAGGTGACCCTAAGCCAGTCACTCCCCTTCCTGGTGCCTCCGTTTCCTCATCTGTTCAGTGTGAACATGCCACTCACTCATGAGGCTTTGATAAATCTCCAGTCACTCAGGTGTGAGAAAGTGCTTAGTAAAACGGGATCTGGCCAGAGACGGTGGTGGAGCCTGTGGCCATTGCCTTTTGGGTGGTGACTCATAAGATCTTTATTCCTGTGGAACCAGACACCTTGTTTCCAGGTGAGTTGAACTTCTGCAACTAGATGTTTTGAGAACGGAGGGAGAAAGCCGATGGCAAAGTGTAATGGAGGGCTGTGCCAAGGCGCAACTAGGTGCAGCCCTGGCTGGACACTTGGCTGGACCCTGGGGAGTACTAGGTCCTTAGACTTGGCCATAGAGCTGGCCCGCCCTCTGGTGGCTATCGATGGATCTGCAGCCCCACAGGAAGCCAAGGATCTCCAGAAATGGCTGATGGATGGATTTTCCCTGAGAAAGGGGGATGACCTGCTGTGTGGAGAACAGTGGAAAGGGAAGTCGTGTAGAAGAAGCAGGATATTGGCACAAACTAGAGAAGTCTCCACTTCCTCTGAGTTTCCCCTTATCAACAGCACCCCCTACTCTGTGTGACACCCTAGGCCTCTCTTCCATCTGGGGGAACCCACCAAGTGAGTCCACAGAACTCCCCTGGTCCTTTTCTCCACCTATTTGGCAACCTCCTTGTGTAGGTCTCTTGGGAGTTACTGCACGAGGGGAGGGGGGTGGCTCAATAGTCAAGAGCGCAGGCTTCGATGGGTTCATGTCTTGGCTGTGCCGCTCACTAGCTAGATGACCTTGGGCAAGGTGTTTAACTCTTCTGAGGCCCAATTTTCTCACCCAGAAAATGGGAGGCAGGCAATACTATCTCATAGGGTTGCTTAAGGATTCAATGAGATAAACCAGGAGAGAACCTAACAGAGTACCTGACCCTGTGTCAATAAGCACTAATAATAATAGTATTAATTGCTTCCTTCAGTCTAACAGCACCCAAGAAATAGATGTTGCAGTCCAGGGGCAGAAAGCACAGTCATAACCTGAGGACTCATAGTCGTGAGTGGCAGAGCTGGGTCAGGGAGTCTGTTCTTAGTTAAAATCTCCTACCCTCCGTGTGTCTGACCCCATGTTAACCTCCACTTCTCCAGCTTCCCCTGGCTCAGACCAGGCTGCTCAGTGTGATGAAAGCAATCTCCACCTGAAGTAGAAGTCTTGAGTTCTAGCCTGGACTCTGCCTCTGAATGGCCCGGTAACCTGGGACAGACCTCTCTCCTCTCGGGGCTTTAGGCTCCCCATCATCGAAAGGAACATTAAACTGAATGCTCTTGAAAGTCTCACAGAACCATGACTTTGCGACATCCTTGTTTCTCTGTAGCTCTGGAATTGGAAACTACCGAAAGTGGAGCGTCTCAGCTGGATCTCATTCCCAGGTCTGAGGGTGTGATGAGAGTTCCAGGGGAAGGTCAGAATTTCTAGAGATCTCCTAGACCCCACTCTGGGTTCCACAGCCCTCCCAGTGGCCAGGAGGCCTGCCCCTGGGCTTGTCGGTGACCACATACTCTGGCGGGAGGGGGCTGGGCCTGCACTTGTCACCCTTCCCACAGTGAGTTCCTCAGCCTACTTTGCCCAGCCAGATGGGAACATGGCTCCTTTCCAGGTTCTTTTTAAAACAGGGAAGAAAGCCTAAACTAGATTAGTTTAAAGGTCAAGGGTGTCAGAGATGTTTTCTTCTTCCTGCTTGGTTTCTAGAGTCTCTGTCCATTTATATTCTTTATAATATAACTGGCTTCTATTAACCACTTACTTTATGTCATGAACTTATGTGTACTGACTCATTTAATAGAGTAGCTCTGTGGAGGAAGGTCTATTAATAACCCCCTTTTACAGATGGAGAAACAAACTCAGGGAGGTAATACTATGCTTAGATTTGGATAAGCAGGGTCTTGGCCTGGGTCCCATGCTTTAGAGGGTTTTGCTCTGGTTCCCCTCCAGCCAACGTTCCCTCCATGGAGTGAAAAGTCCCTGAGACCAAGGGATGTGCCCTCTGGGAGCCTGTATTCCCTTCTAGACCACACTTTGGGTAGCCAGGACATGGGACTCTCTTGTTCAAATGGCCCAAGTCTACTTCCAGGACCTGTGTGGACATCTTCTCCCATCTACCTTTCTGCCAGTGTGTGCACCCTGGCCAAAGGGTGTGGCTGAAGCTTGGACATGTGGGTGGGATACTCCCATGCATGTCCATGAGACCCCTTGTTGTTTGGAGTGGAGACGTGTTTGTTAAGAGAAGAGGAGGTGGCTGTATTTCTGTATAGAACTCCAAGGAGTCAGATCTCTAAAACTGAACCTAGCTTTTCATTGTCAGGTGTCTTTGAAGAATACGAAGGAGCAACGCTGGTGTAGTAGGAGGTGAGGGGTACCTTGTGGACTGGTGGGATGGGGAGAAACCTTTCAGCCCTTGGCACCAGTACCTCCATTTGCACTCCAGAGTAGCTCTGTGGAGGAAGGCCTATTAATACCCCCCTTCAGATGACTTAATCAAAGGGGACATGACTGAAGAGCCAGGCTCTGAATCCAGGTCTATGTAAATATTTCCTTCTTTCATGAAAGTCCATGACAGTCTTGGCCACAAGTCAGAATGTTGACTCCCTGGAGGTCTGTCTATTGGTTAGAACAGTGGTCGGCAAACCGCAGCTCGCGAGCCACATGCAGCTCGTTGGCCCCTTGAGTGTGGCTCTTCCACAAAATACCACGTGCGGGCGTGCACGTACAGTGCGATTGAAACTTCGTGGCCCATGCGCAGAAGTCGGTTTTCGGAAAGGAGATAGACGAAACAAGTATACAAGATGAGTGTGGATGGGAGAGTTGGAAGGGGTCGACCTCAGCGAACGTACCTCAATCAGATTGAGGACGTTTTTAGCAAAGGCCAGCTTAGGAGTACCCTAATTAAGTTAATAACAATGTACCTACCTATATAGTTTAAGTTTAAAAAATTTGGCTCTCCAAAGAAATTTCAATAGTTGTCCTGTTGATATTTGGCTCTGTTGACTAATGAGTTTGCCGACCACTGGGTTAGAAAGTTGGGTCCCATTGTATGTGCTTGAGTTCCCTTCCAAAAGAAGAGAGCCTCCTTTTCTCCCTAGATTGTGACTTCACTGAGTACAGGGTCCATAGTCTCTGTTTTTTCATGCACCCAGCCCAGCCTTGGCCCAGAGTAGGCACCTGGCAAATGTTGCTGACTTACTGGACCCCTGTCTAGAGAGGAAGATGCTAATCACGGCGCAAGGTGCTATGGTCATGTTGATGTCCAGCAGATGGGGAAAGTCTGGAGGGTGGGTGTGGGGAAGTATTGGGAAGCATTGCCTGGGGCCGCCTATTAAATGAATTGCCTTTGACTCTTTTAGTCTAGGAATCCATTTTATGGGGTTTAAGGATTCAGAATGAGTCACCCCAAGATGTGTCTCTGTGTAATGCAGAGTATTTTGAGCTAAAGGCAACCAACATCCTGTAGGCACAAGAGAAACTTCTGTTGCTCCTCTTAACTACAAGAAGAAGGTGTCTCCAAGGAGGTGGGAGGGGTGGAG